TAGAACAATGGCACAATATTGGAACGCTCACCTACACTGACTAATACTGGAATAATTGTTCATGCGAAAGTCGACCAAGCGGCAGAACGAACCGTGGCAGTACGAGCAACGAGCGGGCGGGAATTGCAGTCGAAAAAGGGAAAGGAGGAACACGCAGTCTCGGAGGGGAACGCAGGCAGAGGCAGGCATGGCGTGAGCAGCTGCTTGATCAATGGCAGCGCTGCTTCGGTACGCCAACGCCTCTCCCTCCCCTACATCGCCGCGCCCGGGATGGGGACGAGAGGCCAAGACCCGAGCAGGGCAACCGAACTTCGTGGCAGCGTGTCCGGCGAGCCATCTCCGGCACGTTGGCAACACCGCGCGCCCTTTCCACCGTCTCTTCAAAAATACCCGCTACTAGTACTGCTAGTAGCGGCCCTAAGCTTAGCCTTAACTTGGCTGCAATGCTAGCAACAGCGCCGAAGCGCCCGCGCCGCAATGCAACGGTGAACCGACGGCCGGGGAAGACCAGCACGTGCGTGACTCTTCGCACTCTCGTATTCCTTATCCGCGTCACGCCGGACTGCGCTTGCCTTCATGTCACGTCGTCACGACACCGAGCCTGCGCACGTGTACGTTACTTAGTGATTACGTGCATGACTATCGCGCGGTTCTATTAATACACTGACCCCCTCAGGGAGGTGTGTCCACGCAATGGGCCGCGGGGTGTCGGCCACGCGCGGCTTTCACGAACTCTGCACACGCTCACGCCTCTTGGACGATTTGTTTGTTTTTATTCGTTTTCCTCTTCCCTTTCTCGAAAAGGACCGGACTGTAAAGGTGAAAAAATCTAGAGCTAAAATTCGCAAAAACACAATTTAAGTTATTTCTCCGGGGACTCCACGCGATAAATGGCGCGGGGTGCACAAGGCGGGTATTCCGAAATGAACAATAAAGTCGCTCACTAAATTCCCTGGCAGTGAATAACACCTGCATTGCACTTGCTATATATATAAATGAACAGAATAATAAAACTACAAGAAACTGCGCTCCTTATTTACCATCCTAAAACTCTATTCCCTTGCAACCGCATTCGGCTTCCAACTGCAAACCACCCCTTGCTTCATTCAGTAGCCTTTGCATCCCGAGGCAACAACCCAAAGCTTGCGAACCGTTGTATGACCAACAGTGCCAGTGCCAAACCAAGGGTCAGAGCACCCGCCGGACCTTCTGGGCACTGTTCCACCTCTCCCATGCAAGACGTGGCACCATCGCATATCCTTCCACAACAAAAACAAAACTACGGCAGAGTGTGTACAAACGAAAGCAAACACAGTGATGATATTGACATATAATTTAATTAGAAAATCAACAGCGATTCTTCTGGTGACGTTTTGTCTCATACAGGATTGCTATTCAATCATATTCCAACTATCTATCAACTGAGTTTGTATCTACTTTTCTATTTTTTATCTTTATATCAATATACATACATGCATACATCACACACACACACACAACACACACACACACACACACACACACACACACACACACACACACACACACATATATATATGTATGTACATATGTATAAATATAATATATATATATATATATATATATATATATATATACATTAATGTATGTATATGTATAACATAGATGTAAATATAAATATAAATACTACACACACACACACACACACACACACACACACACACACACACACACACACACACACACACACACACACACAACACACACACACACACACACACACACACACACACCACACACACACACACACACATATTATATATATATATATAATATATATATATATATTATATATAATATATATATATATATATAATATATATATATATATATATATATATATATATATATATATATACATACAAATATAGACACACACACGCACATATATATAAATATAAAATATATAAATATAAATATATATAAATATATATATATATATATATATATATATATATATATATATATATATATATATAATATGCAACACATATATTTTTTTTTTTCCTTTTTTTACAAAGTTGAATCACCTTTCAAGGATTTTGTTTGCAAATATACATCGTGCTGAGCGAGCGAGAGCGAAGAGGGGAAGAGAGAGAGAGAAAGAGAGAGAGAGAGAGAGAGAGAGAGAGAGAGAGAGAGAGAGAGAGAGAGAGAGAGAGAGAGAGAGAGAGGAGAGAGAGAGAGAGAGAGGATGAGAGAGGGAGAGAGAGAGACGAGGAGAGGAAGAGAGAACGACGGACAAATAGAAACTGGTTAAGACCTACGCTCTCCTTCGTACATACCACGGCTTGTACCCTTGATTGGAGGTAAAATACGAAGAGAAAGATAGAAAGAAAAAAATCCCAAAATCACAGTGCAAAGGAGAGCCAGTCCCCTGCCTGCCATCCCCTTCAGCCCTACTTCAGGCGAACGAGGAGGCCAGAGAAGGGCGTGAGGGGCTTCCCGTTCGAGGACTTACCTGCGGAGCCATTGGCCGCAGCCGCAGCCGCCCTTGCGGAGCCGTTCTGCGGGAAGGCGACGGTGACGATCATGGCGGAGGAGGAGTTCGAACGACTTGAAGGAGCCAGTTTCATGGGCGCTGTCTTTCGAGGTGGACAGTCGCGCGCATACCCGGTCAGGTGCACAAAAAGGGCGGACATGCGCCCACTTATCCACGCCTGGTGACCTCTGCGCCGTAGGTCAACATTCCTCGTTTGTCTCTCTTTTTTCTTAGACGTTCATTTTTTTTGTCTTAATGATTCACACAAGAAAAGAGTTCAGGGAATACTAACCACGGCTCTGGTCCTTTTTGATGAGGTCTGGCTTGTATTTCATTCATGTAACACTTCACTTTTCCACAATGCTTGTGCTGTAACACATATCTCGTATACCTGTTCGATGGAAGTAAGATACCAAATAATATAAAACAATAACAAAGAGGAAAACAAAAACGCATCACCGAATTTCAACCCAAGACAGCATATATTTACAACATCTAAGACATTCACAATTCACCCTGGTTTACGGTCACGCGCGCCTCCCGCCCACCAACCCCCACGCAACCCACACCGCTCGTAACTCCGGAATGACATAACGCGTGCCAATACACACGGGCGACTCGTAACCATCTGCGAGTCCCCCAGCCCCTTTCCCCCCGGGCTATACCACGCCCTCAAGACTTGCTTGCTTCCTGTCAAATAAATTATGCTATTGATGACACCCACACACATATATAAACTTTTTTCTCTTGTTACTCCGTCAGGTTCCTCCTGTAACTATAAACTCTAAACAGTCACCGACTTCATGGAATCAATATGGATCTTAACATTTTCACGCAATGGGATATTTTTTCTAGCTCTACGTCCATCACTGTCTCGTCACTGCCATCCAAACATCCTTTTTTTGAACTCCCTCGTACGAGTATTTCATGTCTCGCACAAATTATTCCAGCCGTCACTGCCACATTTTTTCTTGTTTATGGTCACTCACCGGACTCTGCATTCGTTCAAAAGTTAATAACGGAACACGCACTCTTCCTCTGTGGTCTCGTAGCTAAGAACCCCCGAGCAAGCCCAACTCCAGACTAACCACACACAGCAGGCGGACGCTTATCGAACAATAAACCAAAGAATCACAGCAATGGGGATGCGTTTTCGTGGTGATCGCCTCCGAGTGTCATGGCACAGTTGGCACACCCATTACATCATGGAAGAAATGGTTATGCAATATCCTTCGGGTCTTGCATCAAATATTTCTTCAAACATACACAACATTTTTTGTGCATATGTGTGTGTGAGTGTGTGTGTGTGTGTCGTGCGCGCACCCAAAGTCTCTAGAACAAGTGTTCAGTGAACAGGGGCTCCAAGGCGACGGAAAAAAGGAAGGAAAGAAGGAGAGAGGGAGGAAGGGAGGAATGAAGAGAAGGAGGACGGAAGATTAAAAGATCAAGAAGGCCTTCTAGTAGGACGTTCCCTTAATGAGGACACACTTCCTGCCGATAAGACTAGAACTCACATTAAGGACCTTAAATGAATCAAGATGGCACTCTCTCGTGACCTGGCAGCATCCTGTCTTCCTCCCCCCCCTCCCTTCCTACTCCCAAAGAAGGAAAAAAAAAAAAAAACGAGGAAAATATTGAACTCGAAGGCCGCGCTTCCCAACTCTCACATGACCTGGTAATAAAGCACATTTAGAGTCCGTAACATTCCTTCTGTTTAAGGGCCAGCTGACCTGCTTCTCCTCCTCTATACCCAGGGAGCCAGCAGGTCAAACGGGATCAGGACGACCTCTGACCTCGCGCTTCTTCAATTTTCTTTCATTTATCTTATTTTCTTTTGCCCTTTCTTGACTTTGTCTTTTTTTTCTCCGTCCTTTCTCTCGGTCCATTGACTACCCTCATCCCTTCCTTCCTTCGTCTTTGTTTCTTTACTGTCTCCATCGTTTCCTCAAAACCTTCCAGATACATTTTTATCACTTGCTTTTCGACCCATTTCTTTAAACCTAGATTTTATTTTTATTTCAAATTCATTCATCACATTTCCATCCGGCGAGGACAATCATAAACAAACAAACGCGAGCCAAATGACCGCCTCGTTACCAGAATGGCTAAAAAGCGTTACGCTCGTTGCCAGCGCACCACACAACGACCACTTACCGCTCGCTCATCACCCTCTCACGTGATCCGGGCGCCCCAAGTGGCCGGTCACCACACCCAAAGGTCCGGGCGGCTGACTCAGGATACACAGCGGCCAACATACTCAGCATTCTCGTGCCCCCTCCCCCTCCCTCTTCCCCCTTCCCCTCCCCGACTGTAAACAAATATAAACTCGACTGACTGTTCGCGGCCCTTCACGCCTCCCTCCCTCCAGACAGACAATAAACAGACACGCGGCGGAGGTGAACGCCGATGCCCGACAGACTGGCTTCTATCATAGATTAGAACCTTCAGAACAGCAACCATTCCTGCCTCTCGACGCTGGAATTTCCGGCGCACGAAAATCCCCTCGCTGTCCCGGGACTCGCTTACTCCCTCCAGGAACCGTCCCCGGCAGATTCCCCCCGGGGCAGGCTCTCCCCTCGGCCCGTTCCCTCTCGCCGCCGGAGGGAACGCACAGCAACAAGTCAGCGTGCAGGCGCATGTATCAAGCACGGAGTCGATAGGTCATCGACCCTTATTGGACGAGCATATGATCCGCCACCGTGTCAACCCCCGTCGCCCGCGCGGGTCACGCCTCGCGCCACCTGCCCCGATTCGTCACTTAGCATCTGCCATCGAATCAACCTTCGGCGCTCGGGAACATGCGTCACCGGCGGGGCTGCGGCATGCGTCACGCCCTAGGCACCTTGCGTCCCTAAGCAGCCAACAACAAATTAGCCCCGCGCCCATCAATATTATTCGCCACCGAGATCGAAACCGCTCGGGATATACCCATTCGACGCACGCAAATCATAGCTAGTCGACCCACGCACACAATGAGTGTCAACAGGCGGTGCGTTGAATTGAGCACTGAGTAAACGCCAGCCACCGCTCACGCCCACACAATACAGTCCTTGGAAACGGGCGTGAATGGGCGACGGTGCGGGGGCGGTGTGGATGTGGAAGAGGGAGAGAGGGAGAGAGGAGGAGGAGGAGGAGGAGGAGGAGGAGGAGGAGGAGGAGGAGGAAGAAGAAGAAGAAGAAGAAGAAGAAGAAGAAGAAGAAGAAGAAGAAGAAGAAGAAGAAGAAGAAGAAGAAGAAGAAGAAAGAAGAAGAGAAGAGAAGAAAAAGAAAGAGAAGAAAAAGAGAGAAGAAAAGAGAAAGAAAAAGAAAGAGAAAAAGAAGAGAAGAGAGAGAGAGAGAGAGAAGAGAGAGAGAGAGGTAGAAGAGAGAGCAGAGAGAATGAGAAAGGCAAAGGAAAAATAGAGAGAAAGAAAGAAAGAGAATAAAGAGAGAGAGAAGAGGAGCAGCAGGAGCCTCTATATGAGTGCAAGTTCATGTTCACAAGCGTTATGGACAGGGTTATAATCCCCCGACCCATAAAACCCACACGGCCGACATAACAGTCACAGCAATTCACACCTCGGGGCTGCGCTGGATGTGCGTGGGGAGGAGTGCGCTTTTTTAAATACTCTTAATATTGCTCTCTATTTAAAAATTGAGAGCAAGAGAGAGAAAAAAATCCCACCAGAACCTCTTTTTCCTCCATTAGTTCACTTCAATTCTCATTTCTTTGGCACTGGCACACTTCAAACTTCACAAAAACACTGTGAATCTGATTTATACACACACACACACACACACACACACACACACACACACACACACACACACACACACACACACACATATATATATATATATATATATATATATATATATATATATATTATATATATATAGTGTGCTGTGTGTGTGTGTGTGTGTGTGTGTGTGTGTTGTGTGTGTGTGTGTGTGTGTGTGTGGTGTTGTGTGTGTGTGTGTGTGTGTGTGTGTGTGTGTGTGTTGTGTGTGTGTGTGTGGTGTTGTGTGTAACCCTATCACTGATGACGTGACGAACAGGTTTTTTTTCTGGCCTCAAAATCATGAATGAACCAAGCGCCCTTTCGTCTCGGCTTTCGTCATACTGGGTCGAGGAAATCCTACAACGAGAATATTAACGTTACATACACACACGGGCGCCACAGCCTATTTAACCGGCATGATGATCCTGATGGCTTGTGGATGGCACTGTCTGGCACTCTCGTCGGGGTGCCAGACAATAATCTGGGCAAGGGAGAGATATACAGTCACTGAATCTGTTGATGGGTGACTATGTTCTCTTTCACTCACAGACTCGTTCACTGTTTCTGTCTCTGCCTGCCTGCCTCTCTCCCTCTCTCTCCTTCTCCTGTTCTTTCTTTCTCGCTCCTTCTCTCTCCTTCTCCTGCTCTTTCTATCTCTCTTTCTCTCCCTCTCCCTCTCCCTCTCTTATTCTCCCTCCCTTCTCCTGTCTTTACCTCACACTCACAGACAACCTCCCCCCTCCCCCCTGAACTAAAACAACCAGGCAACTCAGCCAATGCAACGCCAGCTTCACTCGCCTCCCCCTCCCCCTCCCCCTTCTCCCCGTTCGGTCCTGGCATCTAGCGTCCCATTAGCGGCCAGCGAACGGCTCCAAGCTTATCTCTTCTCAATCGTCTCCTCCTTCCTTATCCGGCCGCGCCTTGGCCGCTCGTCACGTGAGGAGGAGGAGGAATGAGGTAGGGAGAAGGAAGGATGATAAGAGAGGGATAGACAAAAAGACAGACAAATAGATAGATAGATAGACAGATGCACACACACACACACATAGAGAGAGAGAGAGAGAGAGAGAGAGAGAGAGAGAGAGAGAGAGAGAGAGAGAGAGAGAGAGAGAGAGAGAGAGAGAGAGAGAGAGAGAAGAGAGAGAGAGAGAGAGAGAGAGAGAGAGAGAGAGAGAGAGAGAGAGAGAGAGAGAGAGAGAGAGAGAGAGAGAGGAGAGAGAGAAGAGAGAGAGAGAGAGAGAGAGAGAGAGAGAGAAGAGAGAGAAGAGAGAGAGAGAGAGAGAGAGAGAGAGGAGAGAGAGAGAGAGAGAGAGAGAGAGAGAGATAGAGTGAGAACGAGCACAAGGACTAAGTGCACGAGGCTGAGGAAGAGGGTGGAGGATATGAAACTAACCCGAAAACCGAAAACGCAAGACCACAACCGAAAAGAAAAAACAATAAGTCAAAAGACGGCAGAGGAACAGAACACAACGACCTGCCACCACTTTGGCACCGTCCAGCAGGCACCAGGCGCACCTGAAGGCACCATGCACCCAACGGGGATCACGTGACGCCCGGCCATGAACACACGGTAGGCAAGTGACACGTGGCCCCGCATGGATATTGACACGTGGCCTCCGGAGCGACTCGAACACGTAAAATATGTATCCGAAAACCAAGCCAAGGCAAGCCAGAAGCCGGCCACGGTGGTACGCGCAATATGACCTCCGTCAGCGATCGACTGCGCCCGCATCACTGCGCCCGGCGGAGGAAGGCCGAGGCTGGGAACCGGCCGCGCTCTCCTAACCTTTCCCTCCTCGATATGCGAATAATCAAATATGCGAATCAATCAGTATGTATATATACATATACATATACATATACATATATATATATATAATATATATATATACATATATATATAATATATATATATATACATATATATATATATATATATATATATATATATATATATATATATATATATATATATATATATATATATATATATATATATATATATATACTCACACACAAACACATATGTGCGGATATATACAGATAAATTACTTATATCAATAAAGCTTAAATGTTACATAAAATACATTAGGAAGCGAGAGAGAAAGAGAGAAACGGATGCTGAAGTCCCCCGCGAGACAAAAAGTACACACAACCTACATTCTAAACCTATAATCCAAATTCCCCCTTATCACCTGCCTCGGAAACTATCAAGCTTGTAAAATAATAGACAAACAAACAAAAGACTTAGAGCGCCAAGCTAAGGAGAACCTGCTCCTCTACACCCGAAAAAATAATGGCTGAAAAAAAAGAGAAAGGACCTATACATACACTCTCACATTTCAATGGCAGTGTCCCGGCAAAACACGGCTTATTAACCATCTGTAAAGCATCTGGATTATATTTATATAAAAAAAC